GAGAGAGAGAGAGAGAGAGAGCAATGTTGGTTGTCTGCAAAGAGTAGTGAGGAATTTTTGGCGCGGTAGCAACCCCTATGTGGTGTATGAGTAAAGCAAGACACAAATGCTGATTTTGACGTTGCATATAAGGCAGAAAGTATAGGAGTTGCATTTTTTCCCGTGTGGAGGAGGCCGAGCTACAAGCATGCTAAAGGGGCATGAATCTTGGTATGAATTTGCATATGGCCATTATTTTCGAAATTAACTACTCTATGTGCATCACATTCTCTATGTTGTATCTCCTGGTAAGTCCTCCTTTTCCGGTTTTAAAAAGAAAGTTTTGGAGGTTATTTGATGCCTTCAAAAGGCCGATCTAGTGAAGATTAAGAGGGAAGCAAACATAGTTTCACATGAACTTACTATCCGTGTGGGGGTGTTATTTATAAAGGTTTTGTCCAATATGTTAAACCTAGGTGAAAAGGACTGTTGAAATGTTGGATAATCTCTCTCTCTCGCCCCCCTATCTTTGAACCACATGTTGTAGCCCTGCGTGTTAAAAGATAAATCCATCTAAAATTCCGTCAAACCACACACAAAGAGGAGATTCTTTTTTAGCGAATAACAAAGAGGAGATTCATGATTAGGGCTTTTGCCTCATGTTCATAAGAGAGTCGGCATGCCTCTTATATATGTGCAAGTGCAAGGTCACACATCGATGTAGTTTGCCTAAACGAGGAGATAGAGACACATACTTCGTATAAAATTTGCAGATACTTAACATACTAGAAACTCTATCTCTAACACTATTGTTTGGCAACCCCTTTCAGTCTCAACTCCCAGAGATCGAGATTGTATTTAAACCTACCAAGTAGCCATACCGACAAAGGATTCGTAAACCCGTCGGTTTTTGATCATTATGCCGGATGAGTGAAACATTCATATTCTTGCATGCCAGCTATTCTCGCACAAAAATATAAGTATGCATCATACGTGCATGGAAGATTGGATTGACGAACAAGTATGTAGATCAAAGATTGCCGCAACACAACATCGGAGCTCGATCCTACAAGATTATGAGTTCACCACTGAGAAGTTGCAGCCAAATCACCTCCGTGCTTGCAATAGACACAACTTATAATCCACTTCAGTGTTAGAATGACATATCATGGCTTGCTTCCTTGAACTCCATGATAGAAGATTAGAGCTAAAGAACAGGAAAAAAATCCTTTTGTGCATTGGCGATCATCAGAACAACCAACCCAACTAGCATCAGAAAAAGCATTGAGCCGATGAGGACGTCACCAACACCAACATAGTTGACTCACTCGTGCGGGTGCACCTTGCAGCAGGAAAATCGTGTTGGGTGGCCGCGCGGACAGCGCTAAAAGCATGCAAGAGATTAAACGATGATGTGGCTTCACCACCATCTATGAAAAAGAGGTAGTGGGGCTCCTATTTAGATATAGTAGATGTGCATGTGTTTAAGGTCTATGGATTCATTTTGCTAATGTGTGTGTGGCATGACACATGACGAGAGATACATATAGGGTAAACGAGGGATATAACATATGGTATTCACCACCGCTATTGTTTTCCATGGCAATGATCTTTGTGTTCAGTAAGTGTTCGACAAGAGTTTGAAATTGCACAAAGATGTTAACCCTCAGATTTATGCTTGGGACAACATATTTGTTATAATCATCAATAAATCTAATATAGCATCATCGAATTGATTTAATTGCTAGTGCACAAACATCAGGGAATGCAAGACCCAACTGATTTGATGAAACACGCAAAGACTTAGGAAAAGGCAATTGATGACTCTTGACCTGCTGGCAGGCATCACAAACTAACACAGTACTAGACATATGATCATAAGGCATATCATTATTTGTAAGTGTCGGTGTCAAAACCGACGGATCTCGGGTAGGGGGTCCCGAACTGTGCGTCTAAGGCGGATGGTAATAGGAGGCACGGGACACGATGTTTTACCCAGGTTCGGGCCCTCTTAATGGAGGTAAAACCCTATGTCCTGCTTGATTATTCTTGATAATATGAGTAGTACAAGAGTTGATCTACCATGAGATCGGAGAGGCTAAACCCTAGAAGTTAGCCTATGGTATGATTATCTGTTGTCCTACGGACTAAAACCCTGCGATTTATATAGACACCGGAGGGGGCTAGGGTTACACAAGGTCGGTTACAAAGGAGGAGATATACATATCCGTATTGCCTAGCTTGCCTTCCACGCTAAGTAGAGTCCCATCCGGACACGGAACAAAGTCTTCAATCTTGTATCTTCATAGTCCAACAGTCCGGCCAAAGGATATAGTCCGGCTGTCCGGAGACCCCCTAATCCAGGACTCCCTTAGTAGCCCCTGAACCAGGCTTCAATGACAATTAGTCCGGTGCGCAGTGTTGTCTTCAGCATTGCAAGGCGGGTTCCTCCTCCGAATACACCACAGAAGAGTTTGAATACAAGGATAGTGTCCGACCCTGCAAAATAAGTTCCACATACCACCGTAGAGAGAGTAAGATTTCCACAAATCCAATCTGCTGACATGTTTTGGCAGCATGACATCATGCCATGGCCCGGTAATTATTCGAACCGTTTTTCCTTAACCACCCCCGCATATAACGCGAGGCGGTTTCTTGACACGTCTTGTCAAAGCAGAGATCGTGTTCCCCTTATTACGGGGTTCTCATTAATACGGACGTGGGTAACCCAACCGTGCCTAGGACTCCTAGATTTTAGGCAAGTCCCAAACGGCCACGAGGAGGACTCTTGATATTCACCCTCTTTATAAAAGGACAAGGCTTTTACTTCTTCCCTCCCGTGCTCAATCGAATCCTTCCCCCGCCTTGAGTTCTAACACCCCAAGCCCAGGTCAGGTGCTTCGGGCCTTCAATCATGTCCGGATCCAGCCTTCAAGGCCAGTGGATGCCTTCCTCCATCACGGAGGAGGATATCAAGAAGTTGAGGGAGGCCAGATACCTGATCGCCGAAATTTCGCATAGGCTGCCCGCCCGAGGGCAGGTCATCCCTACTCCCGAACCCAACAAGAGCGTTGTGTTCGTCTCCCACTTCCTCCGAGGACTAGGCCTCTCTCTGGATCCCTTTGTTAGGGGTCTTATGTTCTATTATGGGCTGGATTTTCACGACCTAGCCCCGGATTCCCTCCTTCACATCTCGTCATTTATTGTTGTTTGTGAGGCCTTCCTTCGCATTACCCCTCACTTCGGCCTGTGGCTCAAGACCTTTGATGTGAAGCCGAAGATGGTCGAGGGGCAGTACACAGTGTGCGGAGGTGCTCTAGTAAGCAAAATTGCTGGCGCTCCATGGCCGAAGGGCTCCTTTCCAGAGGTGTCCGGATTGTGGCAACAGGAGTGGTTTTACGTTAGAGCTCCCCGAAGTGCCAAGTGGGTAGCCACCCCCATCTTCCGCTCGGGCCCTCCACCACAACTGATGTCATGGATCAGCAGGGGGCTGAGCTGGGGCCCAGCCAAGGACGTGCCCATACTGCAGAGCCGCATCCGAGATCTCTTCGAGGGTGATTTCAGTCTAGTTATGGTAATGCAAGTCATGCTGGTTCGTCGAGTCTAGCCTTGCAAACACTGGCCCCTCCGCATGTGGGAATTCAACCCGGAAGGACCATGCACTATTTAGAATTTCCTCGGCCTGACGCACGAGGAGATGTACAAATCGTTCTTCGGACCCCAA